TCTGAATTTTAATATTTTTGTATGTGTAATAAATTGGCTTCTGGCAGCCTATTACACCGACTTCACTATTTGCCTGGGTTTCTTCCATAAGAATTAAATTCACAATTCTAATCCTGACCTACACAGCCCTTACTAACATTGTGTCACACTACCTGTCCTCACTAATCAATAAAAATACCCAAGCCTGCTCCCTAAGATCTAAATCTGTTCCTTCCACCATTTCCACCCAAAAATGCATCTTTACCTGTGTGTCCCTTAATCCCCCCCTTGAAGTTCTTTCCCTCTTTGATTCATCTCCCATCTTTTAAAAGTCCAGCCCCTATTAGTATAGATTGTCCCACGTTTCCCTTTGTGTGTGTCTCCCCTCAGCCCCTTTGTGTCTGTAAGTGCCCCAACTCATTTCTGTGTCTCTTACTTTACCCAACCCTTTTTTATATATCTTTTTTTTTTTTTTTGACAATTTTTATTTTTCATAAAAATATAAACCAGTTGGATAGGGGGAGGGTTACAAAAGAGAAAAAGGGTTGGGGGAGGGGGAAAGGGTCCATCAGATATGTAGGCATTACTGTGTAGGTTTAAGCCTGAATCCCAATTCACAAGCTTTTATTAACAGAATCTAATATCAGAGGCAATAGTACATCATATGGTAGGGCGCATTACATCATACTACTGTGCAGAGATTACTGTGACTCAAAAAGGTGTTACAACTGAATTACTCTGTGTAGCAGAGTGGACCGTTCTCCATGTGTCCCAAGCTCCCCATGTCACTATGGTTGTCTTAGATGGAGGCCACAATTTGTCAAAGCAACGCTTGTAGATGCGTTGATTCTTTATGTCCCGCAATCTCTGTAAAACATTTAACTTGTATAACATAAACATTCAGTACGTATAACACACCCTGTAACTTAAGGTCAGTATATAATTACTATAGTAGAAGAGGAATACTAATCCCTTATCTGGATATTGGGTACTTGCTGTGGGGCCGGAAGGGCCAGTCAGTCCTCAAGTGTCCATTCTGGTGACATGCGAGGAACCTTTGAGGCACCCTCCTTAACGGCATCTGGCAAAGGCAGACCCCAGCTTTTGAGCTTCGCTATATGAGCCTCCAGAGAGTTCACTCCATGTATGGTGTCCTTGTAGTGGAGAAGCAATTTCGCTGGATAACCCAATCTATAGGCGATGCCCTGAGCTCGCAGCACAGTCGTGAGAGGAGACATGCTTTTCCAGAACTGGAGGGTCATGACAGAGAGATCCATGAAAATCTTCAGATTTTGATATGGCTCTGGCAATTCCACGGCTTGGCAGGCCAGCACCAGTCTTTCCTTGGCGTGGAAGAAGTGCACTCGGACGATATCTCAGGCTGCCGGAGCCTGTGAGCCCTGTTAATAAATAGTTGGTAAGGGTGTATCTTCAGTGTTAGGGCTTGGAAGAAATCCAATAGGTAGCTGTTGAGGACTGGGGCTAGGATTCTGGAATGCCATGTATGTGCAAGTTATTCCTCCGAAGAATGAAGCATATGCTGAAAAGAACATACTGCCTACAGTTAAGAATGCTGTTGGTGGGTTTTGCTCTGGGACTGCTTTGCATCCTCTGGCACTGGAAACCTGCAGCTTGTGGAATGCAAAATGGATTCATGAACATCATGCCATCTGTGAGGAAGCTGAAGGTTATGCGTCATTGGACCTTCCAAAAAGACAATGATCTTAAGCATACCTCAAATTCCACCAAGGCTTGGTTGCAAAAGAAGTCTTGGAAAATTCTACAGTGGCCATCAGTCACCTGACTTGAACACCAAAGAAAATCTCTGGTGGGATTTGAAGAAGGCGGTTGCAGCAAGCAAAAACAAGAATATTATTGAACTGGAAGTCACTGCTCATGAGCAATGGGCTAAGATTCCTCAGGAACGCAGTCAGAAGCTAATGTCTTGCTATGCATCTCATTTACACCAGGTCATAACAGCAAATGAGAAGATTGCCATGAAGAAGTTGAAAAATTAGTCACTCTGTACCCATTATATCAAAACAGCTAGGCATGAGAGCCACAGTTGCCTTTGTAAAGACAATAACTATAATCACTGTAAACAGAGCTCCAGAGGAATAGGCAGAAAGGACAATCCCTGCCTGGAAGGAGGGCTGCAGCAGAATAGGCAGATGGGGCGATCCCTGCCTGGAAGGAGAGCTCCCTAGTCAATAGTGATGTCGCGAACCCGAAATTTTCGCGAACCGCCCGAAACGCCATTGACTTCAATGGGGAGGCGAATTTTAAAACACACAGGGACTCTTTCTGGCCACAATAGGGATGGAAAAGTTGTTTCAAGGGGACTAACACCTGGACTGTGGCATGCGGGAGGGGGATCCATGGCAAAACTCCCATGGAAAATTACACAGTTGATACAGAGTCTGGTTTTAATCCATAAAGGGCAGAAATCACCTAACATTCCTAAATCACAATCAATATGGATTGACACCTTGACATATGGATTGACACCTGTCCTCAGAGCCCCTGATGCACACGGACACAGAGCAGAATTAGAGACTGGTCCCCCTACATAGGGTCACTTGGCAGATATGGATTGACACCTGTCCTAAGGATACCTGATACACACTGACACAGAGCAGAATAGGGAATGTTCCCCCTACATCGGGTCACTTGGCAGATATGGATTGACACCTGTCCTAAGGTTCCCTGGTACACACTGACACAGAGCAGAATAGGGACTGGTCCCCCTACATCGGGTCACTTGGCGGATATGGATTGACACCTTGTTACAAACTGCTATTTGTAACGGGCCCTTTAAATGGCAAATTGCCCTGCTTCCCTGGGTTGTGGAGAAGCCTATTTGCCAGCCTCCTCCCGCATGACTATGGCCCCTGGGAGATTGTGAAAATTTATGCACTTTTATTTGGTGTGTATGGCCTTTAAGACTGTCAGTGGGCATATTGGGGCTTATGGACTCTTTATGTGACTGGTGCTGGCCATTTAAACACCTTTTTTGGGACATCAGGAAGATTGGGACACTGCCCCTTTAAGGCCGTGTCCCCAGACTTGTTGGGGACACGGCCCCTTTAAGACGGTGTCCCCTGTGTCCCCAGACCTGGTGCAAACCCTTTGTACCTGCCTTGCTATTTCCCACTTGGTTCAGTAAATGGGAAATTATTTCAGCTGCAGAGACTAAGTCCCATTCGGCGATGGGACTTAGTCGTTTTTTCAGCCTGAAATAGACCGACCTCACAGCCCAAATCTATGGAACTGTTTTGGGCAGGAAAATGTGCTTGCAGTCGGTCATAAAGGGACCTCCAGCTAACTTTAACCCCTGGATGGATTTGGCTGATTTTTGGTTATGTTTATGTTTTAAGTGTGCTGATTCCAAATATGTAATTATGAAGATGGGATGTGTAGTTTTAAAGTTACAGGGTAGAAAATGAAGGAAAGGGACCTCAGTTAGAGAAAAAGGATAAATGAGTCATTTATTACACGTGAGTTTACAGAGGAAGAGGTTCTATTTCAACTGTCAAAAAGTAAAGACAAATAAGTCAATGGGACCTGATGGAATACACCCAAAGCTATTAAAAGAGCTTAGTGGTGTACTAGCAAAACCATTAACAGATTTATTTAACCAATCATTGTTAACAGGAGTAGTCCCAGAAGATTGGAAGTTAGCGAATGTTGTGCCCATTTACAAGAAAGGTAATAGGGAGGAGTCGGGCAACTATAGGCCAGTAAGCCTTACTTCAGTAGTGGGGAAAGTGATGGAAACCATGTTAAAGGATAGGATTGATGAACATCTAAAAACACATGGATTTCAAGATCAGAGACAACATGGGTTTACTTCAGGGAGATCATGCCAAACTAATCTTATTGATTTTTTTGATTGGGTAACTAAAATTATAGATCAGGGTGGTGCAGTAGACATTGCTTACCTAGATTTCAGTAAGGCTTTTGACACTGTTGCACATAGAAGGCTTATCAATAAACTGCAATCTTTAAGTTTGGATTCAAATATTGTTGAATGGGTAAGGCAGTGGCTGAGTGACAGGCAACAGAGGGTTGTAGTTAATGGAATATATTCGAAGCTTGGACTTGTCACCAGTGGGGTACCTCAGGGATCTGTACTTGGACCCATTCTCTTTAATATTTTTATTAGTGATATTGCAGAAGGTCTTGATGGTAAGGTATGTCTTTTTGCTGATGATACTAAGATATGTAACAGGGTTGATGTTCCAGGAGGGATAAGCCAAATGGCAAATGATTTAGGTAAACTAGAAAAATGGTCAGAATTGTGGCAACTGACATTTAATGTGGATAAGTGCAAGATAATGCATCTTGGACGTAAAAACCCAAGGGCAGAGTACAGAATATTTGATAGAGTTCTAACCTCAACATATGAGGAAAGGGATTTAGGGGTGATTACTTCTGATGACTTAAAGGTAAGCAGACAATGTAATAGAGCAGCAGAAATGCTAGTGCTAGCAGAGTGCTTGGTTGTATAGGGATAGGTATTAGCAGTAGAAAGAGGGAAGTGCTCATGCCATTGTACAGAACACTGGTGAGACCTCACTTGGAGTATTGTACACAGTACTGGAGACCGTATCTTCAGGATATTGATACCTTAGAGAGGGTTCAGAGAAGGGCTACTAAACTGGTTCATGGATTGCGGGATAAAACTTACCAGGAAAGGTTAAAGGATCTTAACATGTATAGCTTGGAGGAAAGACGAGACAGGGGGGATATGATAGAAACATTTAAATATATAAAGGGAATCAACACAGTAAAGGAGGAGACTATATTTAAAAGAAGAAAAACTACCACAACAAGAGGACATAGTCTTAAATTAGAGGGACAAAGGTTTAAAAATAATATCAGGAAGTATTACTTTACTGAGAGGGTAGTGGATGCATGGAATAGCCTTCCAGCTGAAGTGGTAGAGGTTAACACAGTAAAGGAGTTTAAGCATGCGTGGGATAGGCATAAGGCTATCCTAACTATAAGATAAGGCTAGGGACTAATGAAAGTATTTAGAAAATTGGGCAGACTAGATGGGCCGACTGGTTCTTATCTGCCGTCACATTCTATGTTTCTATGTTTCTATGTTTCCCGCATGACTATGGCCCCTGGGAGATTGTGAAAATGTATGCACTTTTATTTGGTGTGTATGGCCCTTTAAGACTGTCGGTGGGCATATTGGGGCTTATGGACTCTTTATGTGACTGGTGCTGACCCTTTAAACACCTTTTTTGGGACATCAGGAAGATTGGGACACTGCCCCTTTAAGGCCATGTCCCCAGACCTGTTGGGGACACTGCCCCTTTAAGACGGTGTCCCCTGTGACCCCAGACCTGGTGCAAACCCTTTGTGCCTGCCTGGCTAATTCCCACTTGGTTCAGTAAATGGGGCTTACTGAACCAAGTACCACACAGGCAGACCACCCAGAAGTGGAAGTGTGCAGGCAATTTACCTCCCAGAAGCTGCGGTTAACGCGGCAATTGACAATACTGGGGAAGGTCTTTTGTTAGTTTGCTGCAGTGCGTGGCGTGACCATCTTTGATCATTAAAAGCCGAGGTCTGTGACGTAACCAAATTCATGGGTCAAAATCGGCTACATTTCGCGAACATGAGCTCTACCTTCTCCTTACTGGTTTTGTAGCTGCAGAGACGTAAGTCCCATTGGTGATGGGACTGGTACCTTTTCAACGTTTTTCAGCCTTATTTCGGCTGCAGAGACTAAGTCCCATTGTGATGGGACTTAGTCTTTTCAACACCGGCCTTATTTCGGCTGCAGAGACTAAGTCCTGGCGATGGGACTTAGTCTTTTTTTCAGCCTGAAATAGACCGACCTCACAGCCCAAATCTATGGAACTGTTTTGGGCAGGAAAATGTGCTTGCGGTCGGTCATAAAGGGACCTCAAGCTAACTTTTTAACCCCTGGATGGATTTGGCTGATTTTTGGTTATGTTTATGTTTTAAGTGTGCTGATTCCAAATATGTAATTGTGAAGATGGGATGTGTA